GTCGTGTCCTGTGCATCCCTGTCCTGCCTGCCTGGCACCCTGCATGTCCCAGCTCTGCTGCACACCCCCTCCACTCCTGTACCCCAGAAATGCCCTCTCCTGCCTCTGCCTGGCTTCCCTCCTTGCAGCTCCCACAGGCCATCCAAACACAGCTGCAACCTCCAGTTTGTCTTTCTTCTATTTTTTTTTCCTCCTAATCCACCTCTTTTGTGACCCCCAAAGATAGGCCTGGTGTTTCTCTACAAACTCTTTCCATGCTTCCCTCTCCCCCATACCTCTTTCCTGTGGTGCTTGCTGCCCTTGGCTCCGCTCTGTCCCCACTCCTGCCAGGTAAACAATCCTATTTGTCACCTGTCAGGTCCCTGTGACTCCCCCGATTAGCTGGTCCGAGGGGGGAGCGGGAGGGGGGCAGTGCCACAAGGCTCCCAGGTTCTCCCTCGCCCTGGGGGCTGCGGGGGCTCCTTGGCTGCGGGACCCGGTTTGGGTCCATGCTGTGTTCACTGAGAAACTTGGAGATAGGACGTGTGCTTTCCCAGGGAGTTCTCTCAGAAGGAATTTTGTTGGGTTCTGGTTTAGACAGACCCTTAAGCAAGGCCTACTGACCACCCAGTCTGTGGAGAGGAAAATGAGCCATAACCCTATTGCAGGCAGTGGAAATAGACTGGATTTAACTGGTGCAGGTGGGAGAAGAGTCAAAGCAGACCTTGCCATGTACATCTGCATTGGGCGTTGCTTGGTGTAGGAGCTGCTCGTGGTGGTTGTTTTTTTCCATACAATTCTCCCTTTTCCTCCCAAAAATGCTGCCCCAAACTTGCCTCCAGGTGTTGTCCATGGCAGGGCTTTTTTGCCCGTAGTACCCACAGCTCAGGTGTGCTGTGGTGGCTCCCAGAGGAAGACATCCACTCCTGTAGGAATGGTCCCTTTTGGCACGAAATACCATAAAGCCATAAATTAGCTGTTTCCAGATTCAGTGTGTTGTTTTTACAAAGTTAATTTCAAAGGAAAATCCCATCCAAAAGTGCCAGCGTGCTCCCTGATCATTTAGGATCTTTCTTGCATGGGAAACCAGGTCTCCTTGGGACTTTTAGCCTACTCAATAATTACTAGAAGGTATTTTTAATGGAAAATGATGACCATACATCTTTGCTAATTGTGACTGTGCTGCTGGGCCTCTCCTAACTCATGAGCCCCAAGGAATTTATAAAATGGATGCTGCTGCCTGCACAAGGTTTGCTGCTGAGTTAACATAGCGAGCCATAAATTCTTAGGAGTGGGGGTTCATACCCACTTGGGAACTTGCACTGGTGCATCTCCCCTCCACACACCTGCCATTTCCTGCCACGTCCTTCAGCCTGGCCCAGTCCCCAGGGAGGATGTGGATGTGTCTGGTGGGGGTCTGCTCCTGATGTCTGTGCCGTGGTGGGATCAGCTGTGGGTCCACAGCGTCACTGTGGTAGGTGGTGCACCCCAAAACCTGCCTGCTCAGAGGGATGCTCTGAGCAGGATAAGGCGGGAGGGCTCAGCGTGGCAGCCTTGCTGCTGCTTTGGTTTGGGTTTGCTGCAGCTTTTTAACAGGAGATACAGGGAAATTCGACTTTGAGAGCAGCTCAGCTCCTGCAGGAGAGGAGCCCACAGCAGCTCCAGGCCTGGCCCTGCTGCCGAGCCCCAGCTGACAACATCCAAGACTTCAGTCACGTTTGTTTAAAAAGGGAAAAAGAGTTTTCCTCCCCCTTGTTGCTACGTGATAGACCCAAACAAACAGGAGGGTGGCCCTGCAAAGGCCACAAACCTGCCAGACCTTCCCAGGACTGGGGGATCTGCCGGTGGGAGCACTGGGACTCAGGGTTCTCTGGGGCTCTGCCTGCAGAGCCCGGCTCTGTGCTGCCACAGCTCACTGTAAACAGACTAAAAATAGCCCTGGTATGCTCCTCACCCTCTGCTGGGTCAGTTGGGATGGGCCTTGTGCATCTCCCTTCCTCCAAATGGCCATATTTCCAATATCCGGCCTCTGCTGTTGCATTTGGAGGGGTTTTTTTTCCCTCTGACTTTACTTGGTTCTCACAGATTGTCAGCAGAGCAGCTCCTGTGCACTCCAGCCTCCCAAGTGCTAACTGGTGGAGTGGGGAGCAATCCAGGTCCTTCACACACACACACACACACACACACACACACACACACACACACACGAAACCCTAAGCCCAAACATTTTAAATGGAACTGTTTGCTTATTTTTAATTTGTTCAAAAGCACCTGGAAACAAATAACCCTTCTGGTGACCCTTATTTGATGTGGGTTCTGAGCAATGTTGTAGTAAATACCAGGATGTTCCCTGAGTGTCGGCACTGATTCCTTCAAGGCTTGTGTCCTTCCAGCTTTGTCAGAATCTGGTGTATTGTGAGTGTGAAGGTTTTCCTGTTGCAGGACATCTGTAAAATCCCAGCTTCGCTCTTTGGGCCCAAACCACCTCTCCAGCATAGCCCTGCCCTCCAAGGCATTGCCCCTGCCCCTTTCTCTTCTGTCTCCTCACACAGGACCAAAGGAGGAGAATTATCTTTGAGCCTGGTTTTTTTTGGTTTTGTTTTTGTTTGGTTTTTTTTGGTCAGCTCTGGATGCAATTAGCCCCAGTTCTGTTTTCCTTTCATAAGGAATTTTGTCCAGAAGCTAATAGGAAAGTAGAAGGGGCGGCTGGAAAGCAGGGCTTTGTGAAAATGCTCGTTTCTGGAAGCAGGCTGGAGCCACACTTCTGCTTTGGGAAGGGTAAATAAAGTGTGAGGGCCGCTAATGTCACCAGAGCAGCCAGATCTGCCTCCAGGGGGACTTACCTGTTGAAAAAGCGCCCATTTTAATCCATACCTGCCACCAGAGCAGCGTGTCCCTCAGAAAAGCAGCAGATGGAGGACTTGTTGATGCTTGGGCAACCAGGTGGGCATTGTCCTGGCCGGTCTCAAGGTGGAGATGGCCTTGCTGTGCTGCCGGTGTGAGCAGTGGCTGGGGTTGGTGGTGCCAGGTAGGGGTTCAGCTGCTGGAGCTGGGACAGCCCCAGCAGGGCACTGAGGGCTGTGTCCTTGTGCTGTCCCCGTGCCCCCGAATCCCGGCTCTCCCTGTGCCCAGCCCGCGGTTCCCAGCGCTGCCCTCACGTGTGTGCGCGGTGGCCGCGATGTGTGCGCTCCGTGACCGTCATCGTCAAACCGATCTGTGCTCCAGGCCCAGCTTGCAGGATTAGGACCTAATAGCTTTAAAATCCCCGTGAGCCCCTTTGTCACCCGGCGCCGGTGCTGATGGCATGACTAGGGAGTCTCATTTATCCCTAGCACCGGGAAGAAAAACCTGCACCCTCTCTTTGCAGGGATGGGTTTAAAAAGTGCCGGGGTTTTATTTATAGTTATAATGTGGAAACAACCAACATGTAACTATTTCTCTGTATCCTTCTTTTCTCTCCTCAGCTGGAGGTTGGCAGCGATGAAGAGCGTAAATTAAACGTGAGGTAAGCGGAGCTTTTGGGCTCTAAACATTGTTTCCAGTGGTGTTAATTGTCTGCCATGTATCCAAGTCCTGATCCCGCAGAGATCCCCGACCTGGAGCCTGTACCTTGCCTGCAGGGGATGGCATGGTCTGAAGAGAGCAGAGCACTGGGGATACTCAAGCCCTTATCGGTTTTGAGATGAGCATTTAGTGAGCTGAAAGCATAAAAGAGGGTTTGTGATCCTTTTTTTCCTGGTGGGAGGACACTGGAAAATTGCTCGTCAGCTCTGGCCACAGCACTTAACTGTTATCGCAGCATCTCTGGCTCTGCTGCTGCTCCCTGAGGCTCCGGGTTGGGGAGGGGAGAGCTCAGCTCATTCCTGGGCATTAACCATTGGGAATTGGACTCCTTGGGGTTGTGTAGAGCCACTTTCTTCATGTGAGGGGAAAAAAGGGCTGAGAGATCATGCAGAAGAAAAGGACTCCTCACTGACGTTGTGCAGATCCAAAGCTCTTGTGGTGGGGCCCTGTCTAATGGAGCTCTGAGTAATTCTGTGGGGCTTTCGCTCTAAGCCCAGCTCTTGCAGGCAGCTCTTACCTTCTAACCTGTAAACCACAGCCGGGGAGGGAAGTGTAAAGGTAGACAGTGGTTCAGTTCTCTCCTCCTTGCCACTCCTTCCTTCTTTAGTTATCCTGCTTTCAGAAAAAAACAAAGCCACTCGTGCTGCTGCTTAAACTGTCTTTGCCCTGCAAGTGAAATCAGAGGGCAGAAAAGCAGAGTTGCTTTTTGACAGAGCAGGAGAGACAGACTTCCTTGCTTCTGTGTTCTGAGGTGGTTTCTCGTGGCTGCAGCCCACCTGGGAAGCCTGGAATTGCATTGCTGTCCTGTCTGCACACACATGGGTTGCAGATACAAGTGTTGTGTGTCTGGCTCTGTGTGCTCTCCTGTAGATTCCAGGTATTTCATGACTGTCTGTAATGCCATTTGAGAGCTGATTTTGTAAGGAATGGATTTTGTATCGGTTAAAGCAAAATTCAGGATTCCTGGTTTTGCTCCTTGCGCAATGCAGGGCTCCGGCAGGAATCTGCTGAAGGCACAAACAGCCACACAACCTTAATTCTTTTAATTCTTTTGCTTTTTCCCGTGTTGCATTAAACAAGAACATGTAGCCAAGCAGGATGACAGCCTTTTTTTTGGGATATCCAGTCCTGTGCTGAAAGAGGAAACGCAGCTTCATCTTCTTCATTACAGATGTTTTCAGTGTCCAGATAAATCCTTGGATTTGTGGCTACTTTTGGCCTGTCTGGCTTCTTTGCGGGCCGGGTACATGTACCCACCACTGACCAGAGTCATGGGGAGGGTAGATGTACTTAGACCAGGTTTATAAAGGCTAATGCTTTTCTACTGGCTGCTGAAAAATGCTGCAGCACTGACGTTGGACACCAAGATCCCACGAGCTTCCTCTGTCCTTCAGTCTCCTGGGGCTGCTCTTCCGTATACGATTGTCAGGATAAGAATCTGGTAATTAAATAGCCAGACAGACCTCGGGAATCACATGGCTCTGGTGCAG